CAGTCTTTTGATCCATTCAGCAACAAGAACATTAGTAAGGTCAAGCACTGATGTTGGGAGCTCAGCCAATGATCTCAGTTGATGTTCCAAATCAAACAAATGGTGATTGATAAAGCTGACGTCTGCTCCCTGTGAAGGCCAGTCACGTTCTTTTACATGGTTGTTGACCAATTTTTTTTGTTAGACCCTTAATTCATGTAAAGAGCACTCTAATACAGAGTTAGCACTTCCATTAGCCCTCTTAGGCAGTGGACTAGGGAACCATTTCATTGGCGTCTAGGGTCTATCTGGGAAACTATGTGCATTTTTATATATATATATATATATATATATATATATATATATATAGAACCAGGGGGCTGCATTAACCTGAACATGCATAAATGGGGTGCTGCTGGGGGCCGATTTGTACAATACACAAGATCCCGCGCACTCACCTATCCACTAAATAGCAACTTCAATGTTGATAGATTTTATTAGTTTTTAAAAACACCTAATCTAGGCAAAAATAATGGTGGTTTAGTTACATTATATGATCATACATTGCATAAGCCTGCCACAAAGTCAATGTACCCCATCTTTGGCAGGTCCTACTCCAGAGGTAGGCAACCTTTTAGCAGCACTGTGCCGATATAGGATTGTGATGTCCCGTAGCGTGACGATCCTATTTTTTTAAATTGAGGTGTGTATGCTGCCGTATTCTGCTTGTGTTATTTTTACTGTAATTGCTTTGTATCGTTGTATTTGTGCGTATATGAGCTATTATATTGTATATGTTCATTAGTAGTTTATGGTATCGTGTATGAAACATATGAATGTGGGCTGTGTATGAGGGCTGCTTGTGAAATTGTGTGTGGATGGATATGTCAGATTGTGTGATTGGTAGTGTCTGGGGGCTGTTTGCAGGGCCAGATTAAGAACCCAGTGGGCCTGGAGCTGACAATTATGATGGGCCTAATTACAGAATCTTATGGACCAAAAACTCTAAAACAGTCATACCTCCCCAGTGTCATGTATCTGATGGAGATGGTGATGGAAATGGTGTTGGAGGGAAACTCAAAGGATGCAGCATTATGAAAACACATACTCTATGCTAATCTCTCTCTAATTTATGCTTTCATCTTTCAAGTAAATCCATACCCCCTAACAGCAGTGTCCAACGAAGCAGGAAGTCAATGGGCAGGGGAAAAGGGTATGCCACTGGCGCAAATCACGTGACCAGACCTGCCAAAAGGGGTGAACATGCCCAAAAAGTGGGCATGTTTGTTCAAAAAATTTGGAAGGCCAGCCTGGCATGAACGCATGTCAGTCTGCCTGCCAATCATGCAGGCTGTCCACCTAAGGACATACTATGCAGGCAGCACCCTGAGCTTGACATAAATGCATCAAATGATGCACCTACTCCAAGCTTTCTAAGGACTGTCCCCTAGCACTCACATGTCCACTTGTCTCCTTACCATCTTACTAACAGGCAGAAGTTCCTGGTACATAGTCTGGGACAGAGTAAAGGTATATGTAGTGAGTGTAGAGGAAAGGGGACATGCCACAGTGTTATAGAAACCAAAGTCTGCATTACCTAAACTAATTTTATTGTCAGCCAGTCCACACACGTTTTATTGCCATACATCCCTCTTAAACTTCCAAACGTTAAGGGACACTATAGTCACCAGGACAACTACAGCTTATTGTATTTGTTCTGGTAAGTAAAATCATTCCCTTCAGGCTTTTTGCAGTAAACACTGTCTTTTCAGAGAAAATAAATCCACTGGCCTCTCCTTAGATGGCTTCTATAGGTACTTCCTGGGGCAGTACTGCCTAATGTGCAGCACTGCCATTCAGTGTATCCACCCTCTGTGCATGCAGACACTGAATTTTCCCCATAGAGATACATTGCTTCAATTTATCTTTATGAGTAGATGCTGATTGGCCAGGGCTATGTTTGACTTGTGCTGGCTCTGCCCCTGATTGTGTTCCTGACCCTATAGTGTTCCTTTAAGCAAGAGTATGTGAAGAGTAATTAGGGCCCTTTCTTGGAAAAAAATAGCCTTAATCATTTGTATAATTAATTAGTTATGTGTGACATCACATGATGTAAATCACAAGGAATGACATAAGAGAAAATTCTGTAAAATCACCAACAAACTACTCACAGTTTGATTCTGCTGTATAGATGTATTGCTCAAAGTGTCTCCCTGTCTCCAAGTGTCTCAGTCTCGCAAGTCACCCAGTGTCTCAGTGTCCCTATGTATCACAGTGTCCCCATGTCGCCCAGGCCCCTAGTCTCCCAGTGTCTCTGGGTCTCTCAGTGTCCCCATGTCTCAGTGTGTCCCCATGTCACTAGGATACTAGGGGACACAGTGAGACATGGGGACACTGAGAGACCCAGAGACACTGGGAGACATGGGGGCACTGAGACACTTGGGGACACTGGGAGCATGGGGACACTGAGACATTTGGGGACACTGTGAGAAATAGGAACACTAAGACACTAAGGACACAGAGACATGGGGACACAGACACTGGGAGGCATGGGGACACTAAGACATTAGGGACACTGAGAGACATAGGAACACATACACTGGAAGACTAGGGGCCCCCGGGAGACTAGGGGACACTGGGAGACATGGGAACACTGGGACACTAGGGACACTGGCGGGGAGACACACTTGTGGACATAGACATGGGGACACTGGGAGACATGGGGACACAGACATTTGGGGACACTGGGAGACATGGGGACACTGAGAGACATGGGAACACTGAGAGACATGGGGCACAGACACTGGGAGACTAGGGGAAACTGGGAGCCATGAGGACACTGAGCTACTAGGGCCACTGGCTGGGGGACATGGGGACACTGTGTCCCTAGTGTCAACATGTCCCAATGTCTCCCAATGTCCCTATGTCTCACAGCGTCCCCATGTGTCACAGCATCCCCATGTGTCCTCGTGTCCCCTAGTGTCTCACTGTCCTCATGTTTTCCAGTGTCCCCAACTATATGTGTCCCCAGTGTCCCCTAGTGTCTGTGTCCCCACATGTCCCCTAGTGTCTGTGTCCCCATGTCTCCCTGCCGTCATTCCCCCAATCCCTCACTTACCTGAACTGTAGAGCTGCTCTCTGGACTCTCTGTGCTCTCCCACGGATCAGTGACTAGCATCTGGGGCTGTGGATAGTTAATACAATGTTAAACAAAAATCTGCACAAAAGGCAAGCCATAAGACTTGCTTTTCCCACATAAAACACAAATCTGCTATTTGTTATTACCGCAAAGGATTCTGGGTGGGCATTTGCAAATTAGTTTAACAAAGAGTCACATTTTTGCCTCGTTCCATTTTAAACATGGATTCCTTTGAGTCTGTGTTTTCTGTATACAACAGCTTTGAAACACAAGTTTTCCATTTTACTTACCCTGGACCTATTTAGTTATACCACAATATACATGTTTAAGTGGCTTATGAGTAGTGTCCGTGTCCCTTTATGACTGCCTCTAGTGGCTCTCTCCCAGACACCCACCAGAAGCGCTTTCTCGACCTATGCATAGTTTTACCCCATGAAAAAATGCTGGAGGGCCTCACGTTTTGCATGAGGATATCTAGAGTCTTGAAAATCCACGCAGGAAAGCATTGATTCAATGCTTTCCTATGGGGAAGGCCTAATGCATGAGCCACTTGCCGCACATGTGCATTAAGTATTCCTATCGGTGTGACGTCAGAGGAGGTGGAGAGCAATCCATCATTGAGGGACATCAGGGTTGGCATCAGGTGAATAAAAAAATACTTTTTTTAACCTTTTATTCGTATGGGGGTGCGCATAGACACTATAGTGTTATTAATACAGTTTTGTATTCCTAACACTATGGTGTTCCTTTTACCCTGTCAGCTATTTCTTGGCTCCATATTACGACTGAAAATAAATGTTATTGCCAATGATATTGTAATAAGGGGTCTATCAGTATCCTGCCGCTTTCACACTGTGTACACTGTGTGCTGAGTGCTAATAGTGAATGGGGCAGAGACATGTACTGTTTGGGGATCTCTGTATTGCAGCTCTGTATAATCCATTGCAGTGTTCCTGGCTGTGTGGGATAGTTTAAAGTATCTTATTATTGTGCCCAGCTCTGTGTGTTATTTTGCTGTATTTTACTCAGCCCTACCTGTTGAATGGGTATCTCCGTTATATACCCAGTTCTGTGCATTATATAGGTATCTTTGTTTTGTGCCCAGCTCTGTGTATTATATCTCCATTTTTTTCAGCTCTGTTTGTCCTATGGTTATCGCAGTATTGTACTTAATCCTATATATTTTATAGATATCTTTATGTGCCGAGCTTGTTTTATTGTTTGAGTATCTATGTATTATGCTCAGTCTCCTGTATTGTATGAATGTCTCTGTACTTTATAGGGAGGTGTAAGATTCCCAAGGAGGAGTCTGATGCGCCACCATCTTAAAACTTCACCAACCACCACTGCATGGCACGTAGACTAATCAGGTACTGTGTGAGTTCCCTGGGCTCTGACAGCACAATCATTTTCTTTTAGAAGGGGCTTAGACTAGGGCTGGCAAATGCTTTATTTCCAACTGAGGCAGGTTTTTACATATGCTTCAGCAAGGCCTCCTCCTCCCCTCCAGTATACATCTCCATCTAGCTGGCTCTCTAGTCATTACATTCTGTCTCCAAGTATTAACCATACATGACTCTTTTTTGACTCTGCAGATTAATACTTCACTCCTCCTCCGTTTGAGTTATAAGGTTGCCCCCTGCATAGACAAATGATGGCCCCACACTTCATATTTGGAAAGACAATATGTAAAATATCAGAATTTGGATTGAAGATGGTGTTCAGGTTGTTAGGAGTAGTAAAGAATGTCTCTGGAATAGTTTACAAATCAGATGATAATTTGTATGTTTGGTTTTAAATGATAATTAGTATTTTTATTTCTAAAATAAACAAGTTTACAGTTGTTAACTTGACTATGTCTCTATACACTAAGTTATGAGTAGGTTTTAAATTTGGTGCAATAATGGCATAATTAAAACAGTCAGTAAATAACCCTTAAAATTCCCTAATATTGTATGGTAAGGGAATACGCATCATAGGGGAGATTATACCCTTCCCAGAACTGCAAAACACTTACCACTTACCAAATCTTATGTTTTTCAGTGCCTACAACTAAAAAGTATTGTCATGTGCCAGGTACAGTTACAGGAGCTTCATCCCTCACTGTCGTAGCCCACAAGATCTATGACAGATGCTGGAAGAAACCGAGACATCCCAAAGCCTTATCAATTTGCTATAGCGCATTACGAGAAACACTGCCAGATATGCCCTTCATCTTCCTCAAAACCATGGCGTCTAGTAATGGATTTAGAGTGTGACCTGACCCCATATGAATGGCTTGCCACCGTTAATGTGTTGAAGGGCCTTACCAAATGCTACTCACACGTAGAAGCTCATTGGAAGTTTATCTTTAGATGGTTTCTCACACCATTTAAATTGCACAAGATGCAATGCATACTGGCGTTGTGAACAAAACGAGGGCAACATTACACATATCTGGTGGTGGTACCCAACCATTTTCCCATTATGGGACTTGGTGGCACACACCATGACAAGTTTGGGGCTACAAGACAGCAAACTAAACATAAAAGCATGTTTATTTCTGCTACTCCCCAATAGGCTACCTAGGGCTTCCAGTCAAATGGGAGCATTGATCATACTAGCAGCCTGTAACCCGATTGCCCTTGTAGCAGAATAGACGTTTTCCAGAAACTTGTATTCCCTTTATTGGCTGTCCGTACCCCCCTGTTATAAACTTCCATCTTTCGTTTTCCTCTGTGATTTCGTGTGGTTCCTCTTTGGCCGTTCTGCAGACTTAATATGAACGGAATCCCTTCATCTCCCAAACGAGGACCACCCCTGTGCCCCATTAGAACGTTGACACCTACCACTCAAGTGCGAATCCACAAGGTAAACAGTTAATAAGTGCTTCCCCTGGGTGGCCACCATTTCGTATAACCGAACACGTGGCAGAGAGTATGGTAGCCATCTTGTCTCCCAAACGTGGGCAGAAGTACTTGGTCGTCGAGTGCCTAGAACTCTTTTCGGCTAGGCACTCGCATGAAACTTAGACTGCTGGCCGTTCCAGCTCCCGACCACCTACACCATGGTGGTGGGCGTTTCAGGATTCCAGGTGGGTGGTAGGGATTTCCTCAATTTCAGAGATTGGGTGGGCGGGTGCGAGCCGGCGGTACCCCTGCGACCGGGTACCGCCATCACCATTTGCGGCCACGGCTAAGCCTTCCTACTGGGCATTGCTATAAGGAAGGTTAAAACATAGAAAAAAGGGATAAAAAAAAGGTGGGGAGGGGAATTGAGGAGGGAGATGAGATGAGCTGACGCACAGATGAGAAATCATATTATGCGCAAACAGAGAAGTCGTCTGAATATCACCGAAAGAGGGGACCTTTGTTTGATCCTTCCGAAAATCGAACCAGATATCAAATATTTAATCTTGCACCATCAGCCTCAAGGATCTCATTAATCACTAGTAAAGGTAATTTCAATTTATTTTATTGTTTTCCCATTAAAGTTAAAAACATTATAAACATGTATTAAGTAGAAATAAAAAGATAAATGTACGTACATTTATTTTATTTTAAACACCCTCCTTTCTAAAAAATATTCTGCACTTGCGCGAAAACTGGTGGGCGGTAAGGAAATTTTTCCATCAAGAAAGATGCATTAGTGGGCGGTAGGTAGAAAAAGGTTGACTACCACTGACCTAAACGAACGACATTCGGGAAATATAAACTACCAAACTGGGGAGCATTCGTATCCTAAAATAAAGAGATTCCCTTGTATGGTATTCGCACAAGAACCTCACAAACAGACACCGGCCAGGGCACCAATTTCCGTGGAACTGTTTTGGGCTAGGACCTCGTGCCTGGCTGGTGAAAACTTTGACACAATGCCATTCCCGTTCTGTCTAACTGAGTGGTTCTTGGATATGTTGGACACTCAGATCGGGGCTATGAGGGAATGTATTTATTGTGGAGTTCTGGGGTATGGTTGAGGTACTTTTGGGGTACAGGCTATTTTCTTAGATTTTCTGTACCTGAGAGATAATTGCATTAGGGGAGTTTTCTCAGGCAAATATCTCTCAGGCACAGAGGATCCTGGGATTGAAAACCCTGCATTCGGGGGCGTGGCTTGGCGCCAAACAGGAATGGCCGCCTAATTCCCGAGCTCCGCTCCCAGCCGCAAAAAACACACCGCACAAGCACGACCTGGCACCCATGGGGCGTACCAAGAGAGCCCAGATGACCCCCTCCACGCCGAGAACACAGGGGACCGGCTCGCACCCCTCCATCCGCAGCTACCTCCACACGCCAGGGGATTTCCTCTCCCAGGAGGAGGCCTCCAATATGGCGCCCTCCTCCCCGAGCTCCACGCTGTCGGAGGAATACCCGCGCACTGAAAGCAGCCGACAAGCCCCACAGACACCAGACTGGTACTCACTGTTCACGTCCCTGCTGAAAAAGGAGGACTTCCAGTCACTGCTAGACGAGGTAAAAGCCACCCTGCGCACAGAGATCTCAGCCCTAGGCACCTCACTCACAGCGCTTGAGACAAGGGTACAGGCACTAGAGACACAGGGCCCCAACCCACACTGCCCTGCTATACAAGCTACAGAGGCCCACTCCACATAGAGGACCTTGATAACCGCAGTCGCAGGCATAACATCAGGGTAAGAGGCTGCAGAGAATCTGACACAACAGAAGACACCAGGGCCACGCTGACCCCGATTTTTAATCGCATACTGGGCAGACCCAGGGACGCCCGCATCCACATGGACAGGGCACACAGGGCACTAAGATCCAAGCCCCCCCCCGGTTGCTCCCCCCAGGGACTTAATTTGCCACATACCAGACTTCCAACTAAAGGAAGAAATTATGAGAAAAGCACGCACAGAAAGAACCTGGAGAATAGAGGGACAGGCTATAGAACTTTACAATGACCTATCCCACCTCACCCTACAGGCCCGAAGAGCCTTGCGGCCCCTCACCGCCGCCCTGCAAGAAGCCCAAATCCGCTACAGATGGCAGTTCCCTTTCGCCCTCTCAGCCAGACAGGGCACCACGGAAGCCGTAATCTGCACGCCGCAAGATGTATTGGCCTTCCAGGAGGCTCTAAACCTCCCCCGCACCCCTATTCCGGACTGGACTGCATGCCCACTTAATGAACGCCTCACAGGGAGACCAACACAACGTAACATCCACCAGGGGCCCGACAGAGACGCCCCGCGCACCCATCACCGACTAATTGACCCCGAGGAATAACGAGATGGAGACACCACCACCTGCCTACACCCCCTCCCGCCACCACCAGCCTGACCACGACCGTGCAACACTTTAATGACCACGCTGAGGGGAGCGGGAGGGATACGGCAACTCCAGAGACACCTACCCCCCCCCCCTTTTTTTTTCTCTATCACCCTGCAACCAGGAAAGCAAAGGGAGAAAGCAGATTGCAACTCACTGCCGCCAAGACACCACCAAGAACGGTAGCCCACCCGCATCTCACCGTCCCAAAGGCCTAGAACCACCTTGCTTCATCGGCTAACTGGGCCTACATCTATTGCCCCCCGAGTCCATGACTTGCTCAACACCACCAAGAACACTGCTAACTCAACAGAGACAACCCCAAAGGACTCGCCAGTGCACCAATACCTTGGCCAGCTCCACACAAGACTTCTTTGCCCCACAATGCGGGACATAGACCCACACCCGCCAAGCTCCCAACACCCTATAGAGACGACCACTGGCATGATGCCTTGAACTGACACCCTGGCATCACCCTGGACTGCTGGCCACGGCTTCCACCACCGTAGAACGAATCACAAGTGCAAGTATACCTTGCGGGCTCACTTACACACCTAAACACTAACACCCACCCACACACACACATACACACACACACCCGCTACACCAGGAAGGGAACCCCCCCAAATACACCCAAGATGCACCCAGACACCCTCACTATCTAATCAAACCGCAGACATACACACAGACCATACCTGCAACACAGGCAACCAGGTATCAAACGCACCTCTGAGGCGTCCAACAGAGACACACCTTAGGCACCACGAACACGCTAGAAGGGGGGAACACATCACTCACCAACCACTACATACCGTAAGATGAATGCTCCGTGTTCCTCAAGCAGACTCATAATTGTGAACATCCGAATTACTGTTGAGAGCGACTCTGCCTCGCCCCTGTGAACAACCGAGGAGTTCCCACCGGGCGACGGAGACACCTGCGCTCACTGGTTCCAACAAAGGGTATTGTGTGTATTGTTTTGTTTTTTTTCTCTCTTCCCTGAACCCCTTCCCCCCTCCCCCCCTTACTTTTTGCCCTCCTCCTCCTACCCTGTTATATAAAAGGTGTGGGGTGACAGCGCACCACGGGGTGCAAACCTCATTCTATTCCATGAGGGGCCCCCTATGCTGCGCGAACACACTCAAACCATCTCTAAATGTTCATAAAAGTTTCTGATGTTCTCCCTGATACTGGGGATATAATTTGTGTAACCATGTTTTGATATGCTGTTATTATGTTGTTCTCACGAATACTGTTCTCATATCCGTATGCACGCTCCCGACACAATAGCGCAACGATAACAAGATAGCGCCCAGGGGCGACCATCACGGCCACTCACATCGTTGTAAACTGACCCGCTAGAATGGTACTACCCCTCTGGATGCCAGACACCACCACTATTAGGCAGCAGGAGACGGATGCTGACAGAAAGTGATACGTCACTAGACGACACCCCAAAGTAGGTGACCTACCTAACCACCGACGCCACCTGCCCCACGGGTTCACTGCCAAGAGACTGTGAGGTGACTACGAGGACCTTGATCCCCGGACACACACCTACCAGAGGCACATTACCCCTTACAACAGTCGCCTCTGTGACTCGACACAACCGCCACACACCACACTGCTTGAACTACCCCCTCAAACCCATCCAACCTCCCCTTCCATCTCCCCCTCCCCCTTCTCCTCCCCTACTCCACACCCCGCCACCCGGATACGATGGGCCCACCGCCTCTCGCCCCCCACGCCCCCGGGCACGCGGGGATAGGAATTAACCTCTACACAATCAACGCGAAGGGCCTGAACTCCCCACAAAAACG